CCTTTTGGTGACCTTCTGGGAGGCCTCTTGGGCCGTCTTGAGGGCCTCTGAGGCCAAAAATATAGATTTCCCGCTGGTTGTGTGAAAGATCGAATTTCTCGAGAACCTTTTCGGAAGCCTCTCGGGCACCCTTGGGGGCCTCCCGGGCCGTCTTGGAGCGCTCTTGCGGTCCTCTTGGTGCGTCTTGGAGAGCTCTTGGGCCATCTGTAAACAATCTTGAGCAGATTTAGGGCTGCTCTGAGCCTCGGGGGCGGGTCCCGGCGGGCTCCTGGGAGGGGGGCACTACCTATGTACAAGGGGGGGGGCCCTGCGGGTCCCCGGGGTCGGAATCCCCCATGTATGTGTCGGAAATGAGGGGGTGAGATCGAAGTGGAACGGAGAGCCCCCCTACCGGGAAATCGATTTCGGTTTCGTGTTCGTGCGTGCCGTGCGGGCGAGGCGAAGCTGCGTGGGCGGGCGAGAGAAAGTCTCCTGTGGCTGAGGCGCGGCCGGACCAATGATTCCCTTCCGGGCGGCCGGGGCCCCGCGGTGTCCCGCCGGTGTCATGCTGGTGTCCCGTGTGGCTGAGGCGCGGCCGGACCAAATGATTCCCTTCCGGGCGGCCGGGGCCCCGCGGTGTCCCGCCGGTGTCCCGCTGAGGCCCGCGGTGTCCCGCCGGTGTTTCGTCGGTGTCCCGTCGGTGTCCGATGATGATGTGATGATGATGATGATGATGATGATGATGATGATGATGATGATGATGATGATGATGATGATGATGATGGTGATGATGATGATGATGATGATGATGATGATGAAGATGGTGCTGATGATGATGATGATGATGATGATGGTGATGATGGTGTCCCGAATATGCTGATGATGGTGATGCTGATGATGATGATGTTGCGAATGATCATGATGATGGTGTCCCGATGATGATAATGGTGTCCCGATGATGATGGAGATTATGATGGTGAGAGGTGATGACGATGATGATCTCACTATCGATTGTGATATCGATAGTGATATCGATAGTTAGACCGATTGTGAGATCGATAATGATATCGATAATGAGTTCGATAGTAAGATCGATAGTGAGACCGAATGTGAGATCGATTGTGGGATTGATTGTGATATCGATAGTGAGATCGATAGTGAGACCGAACGAGAGATCGATAATGACTTCGATAGTGAGTTCGATAGTGAGATCGATAGTCAGATCGATTGTGAGATCGATTGTGATATCGATAGTAAGATCGATACTGAGACCGAATGTGAGATCGATTGTGAGATCGATAGTGAGATCGATTGTGAGATCGATCGAATGTGATCGATAGTGATATCGATAGTGAGATCGATAGTGGGACCGAATGTGCGATCGATTGTGAGATCGGTTGTGATGTCGATAGTGAGATCGATAGTGAGACCGAATGTGAGATCGATAGTGAGATCGTTTGTGAGATAGGTTGTGAGATTGATAGCCATATCGACTGTGAGATCGATAATGAGATCGATAATGAGATCGATAGTGAGATCGATAGTGATATCGATAGTGATATCGATCGAGTGCGACGGTGGTCCCTCCCCCCCCCTCACCTCCTTATCACCCGAAGGGTGGTCTATGCGGTATGTGTGTATACACTAGAACCACGCGCGCTTACGTTCTTTTTGCAGATGAGCCACGGTGCAGTCCTGGTCTCGCTCGGGCATCGATCCGCAGGAAGACCTTTCCAAACCCCTTTGGGAGACCTCCTGGAGGCCGTCCTATCCGTGTTGAGCCATCTTGGGGCCTCGTTTGGGCCTCTTGGAGGTCTCTTGGGGACCTCTTCGGGCATCTTGGGGACTCTTGGGGCCTCCTGGGAGGTTCTTTGGGTGGGAGGCTGTAACTTTCGAGTCGGAGCTCCCCTCTTGGACCCCTCTTGGACCCGTCTTAGCCGGCCCTTGGGCCGTCTTGGCGCCCTCTTGGGCTATCTTTGGGGCCTCTTGGGAGCGTCTTCGGTTCGCTTGGGGAAGGCTTGGGGGCCTCTTGGACCGTCTTCGAAGCCGTGAAGGCCCCAAAATCGCAGATGCATAAAATGCGAGTTTCGCCTGCAGGAATGTAACGAAATTGGTCTCTTGAGATCCTCTTGGGAGTGCTCTTGGAGGCCCTCTTGGGGCGCCTCGGAACCTTCTTGGACCTTCTTGGGGCCATCTTGGGCAGTCTTGGGCGACTCGGGGCCTTCTTGGGCCTTCTTGGGGCCCGTTTTGGGGCGAGCTTGAGCCGTCTTGGGCCCCTCTTGGGCTGTCTTGAGGGCCTCTTGGGAATGCCTTGGGCTCTCTTGGGCAAATCTTCGGGGCCTCGAAAAGTAGCATATGATAGAAATAAACTTTCCCCCTGAGGAATTCAACGATTGTGGCTTCTTGGGGCCCTCCTGGGGGTGCTCTTGGAGGCCTCTTGGAACGCCTGGGAGCCTTCTTGGACCGTCTTGGGGCCATCTTAGGCCGTCTTGGGCGACTCGGGGCCTTCTTGGGCCGTTTTGGGCGCCGTCTTGGGGCCAACTTAGCCGTCTTAGGCGGCCCTTGGGCCGTCTTGGCGCCCTGTTGGGCTGGCTCGGGGGCCTCTTGGGAACGTTTTCGGCTGTCTTGGGGAAGTCTTGGGAGCCTCTTGGGCCGTCTCGAAAGCCGCGAAAGCTGAAAAGTCGTACATGCTAAAGATGTACGCTTTCATAGAAGAATGGAATGACTTGGACCTCTTGGGCCCCTCTTGGGAGTGCTCTGGGAGTCGTCCTGGGCCGTATTGGGCAGCTCGGGACCTTCTCGCGACGTCTTGGGGGTCTCTTGGAACCCGATTTTGAGGGCTGAAAAAACGACCCTACCCTGGGTTACAAGTGCGTGGTCTGTAAACCTCCTGGAAACCCCCAAAGCCTAGAGCCGCCAGGACGCGGCCCATCACGCAGGGTTTACCCTGTCAGCCCACAGGAGTTTCAGCGCACAGCGCCTCGTAAACCAGGGTAGGGGCGTTTTTTATGCCCTTGACGATTGGCTCGCCTCGGCACCCTCTTGGCCTCCCCGGGCCGCCTCTGGGGAGAGCGAAACGGCGGGGCATCCGCGGGCGCCCGCCGATGGCTGCGGGGTCGGCCGGCCCAGGCCGGGGAGGGGGGGGCCTATTTACTCATACATACATAGGAGGAGGAGGAGGAGGAGGAGGAGGAGGAGGAGGAGGAGGAGGAGGAGGAGGAGGGAGGAGGAGGGGAGGAGGAGGAGGAGGACGAACAGTGAAGAGGCATAATAAGGTAGACCCCTGCGGGGGGGGTACCATATATATATATATATATATATATATATATATATATATATATTACTAGAAAAATATGTTATGTATAAAATGAGAACTAGACACGCGCTTCGCGCGCTTAGGTTCCCGAACCCCCCAACCAATCCCCGACGAGCGTACACCTGCATAATTATGCGTCCTCTGCCGCCGCTCCCCCGCGCTTTGGAGCTTCTGGGGGGCCCGTTCGTGGTCTCCCGGGCCCGACAGGGGCGCCTCCTGGGAGCCCCTTGGGGCCTCTTTGGGGGCCTCGTTGGTGGTCTGCTTGAGCTGCCCGAAGCTCGTCGGGGCGGAAAGCTTCATCTTTCGGTGAGCGTTTCCCCTCTGGGGGTCCTCTGGGGAAGTTCTCGGGGCGATCTGGGAGGCCTCTTGGGCCGTCTCGGGGGTCTCCGAGGGCCCTCCTGGCACCTTCCTGGGGGCCTCTGAGGCCGTGCTGGGGCGAGCATTTGGGCATTTGGGACTGTTGTGGAGCGTCGGGGTGAGCTTCTGGGAGTTCGTTTTTCGCAATTCATTACATCTTGGGGCTGTCCTTCAGGTGTCTGAGGGCGTCTTCAGGGCCTCTTGGGCAGTGTGGGCGCCCTCTCTGACACAGTCGTGGGGCGAGTTTGGGTGTTTCTGGGGCTGATTCGGAGCGTCTGGGCCAAATGTTCTTCAGTACGAGAACGAACACCCTACAGTATTTCGTGCCACAAGAATGCCTGCACCAACATTTGACAGGCGTAGGTTTCGTTCTGGGGTCCACCAAGCCGCAGTCTATCAAGTCGTTCGCTGCCCCACTGGATCTGCAATAGGTTGCTCCGCAGATTGCACCAGGTACCGCAGCCAATTTCAGTCCGACATAAGCCAGAAAAACATCCTTCAAGAACATGAGACCCTCCGTCGGCCAAAAAACAAACAGGATACGCAACACCATCCAACAGACACGAAGAACACTGGGGCACCCTCCCCGAGTCAAACCCGATCTTATGCCTCGGTCCGCCTGTGACTCGCTCGCTGCTCCAGTCTGCCGTCGACTGCGCCGCAGGCTGCGCAGGACAGCCCACGCACACCGGCGTCGCCCATGGCCCCCACGGGCCTGCCCGTGGGCTGCACCACGGGTTGCGCCAGACGCCCCGCGGGCAAGCACATCGAAGGACGTCCTCGTCGTCGTCCTCCTCCTCCTCCTCCTCCTCGACGCCCCCTCCAGGATGCTTGGGGGCGAGGGGCACTCCAAAGAGGGAACGGAGGAGGCAGGCAAGACGGAGAGCGGCAGGGGAGAACAGGGGAGGGCAGGGGGACGACGAGAGGAGGGGCGGGGCGGAGGGGGAGGGTCTCCGAGCGGGGGGTGGCCAGGGAGGAAAAAGGGATCGGTGCGGAGAGGGGGCCCTGCCCCCGCCTTGGGAGGAGGCCGTCGCCCTCCGAAGCCCGCCGCAGCAGCCGAAGCGCGCCCGATCTGGGCCTGGCACAATCGCGGAAAGGAAGAGGCCCACGAACACACAAATACACACACACACACACAAATCACAGGACTCCCCATAGGTTTCCATGTTTTCCTTTTTGTTTTGTCTTCCCCCCCACTCTTCCCATGTGTTCCCACATTTCCTGGGGGATCGGCGATGAAAATTGTGTCTCTGTGTGCTTTTCTCCCTCCTGGGGAAAGGGGGGCGAAGGGGGGGGGGGGGGGGGGGCGACGCTCGACCGCTCGCCACGCACCGCTGGCATTGTCGCGCGCCCAGCTCGATGGCAAGACAGATGGGTAATTTTGCTTGCAAGAGCTGGGAGTAGCCCCAGGCACGGGTGGGTCACGGGCGAAGCAGGAGGCTGAAGGCGCCGATGCGAAGCAACCCTCAAATCGCATGGGGCTATTCAGGACAGATATATTGTTGCAGCAGGCAGACAGAGAAGTCGACTACGCTGCAGTGCTCGAGGCCCCCGAGAGAGGGCACCCGACTGGCCGTCGCCACGAGCCGCCGACCTCACCTCGGATCCATCGCGAAGTGGGGCACGGCTACTCGAAGGTAACGGCCCCACCCGACGTCCCCTGCCAGGCCGCAGCGGTGCAAGCCCAAAGGGCACGGCTCCCAAAGAAAACCCTGGCTGCCAGTGCCCAGCAGCGCTGTGCCCGACTTGTCCATGCGGCTTGCCATCGACGTTCCGAGGAGGGCGGCGACAGAGAGGCCAAGGATCAAGCCCCCAAAGCCGGTGAAGAACGACAAGCGAGACACGAACTTCCGCTGCTTCATCGTCACGAATGCGCCGCACGTCACGTCGGAGAGCGTCGACATCATGCGATCCAAGACCGCGAAGAGGCACCACAAAGCAACGAAGATCGGCTCCGGCACGACAGGGCGCCACAGCTGGGCGAGCATAATGGCGACCATGGCCACCCGGGCCACCGCCGTCGACACGAGGAAGCGGTGCCAGGGGCCCGTGCCAAAGCACTCCGACCTGACCAGCGGCAGGGCGGACGCCCTCCCCACGAAATCTGACGCCAGCTTGACCGACGCCAGGAACTGTGTGTGCGCGGAGTTCCCGTAGAAGCCGGCAAGCGACACAATGAACGACATCAGCGCCGTCATGAGGCACTTTGTGGCCTGCCAAATGTACACCCAGTTGGGGATGGCGAGCTGCCGTGACGACAGTTCTCGTCGCGCACCCTCCCGCGGCGAGCGCTTCTGGGACATGTGATTCTGCCCTGGCAGTGCCAGCAAGGGCGTGACCTCCTTCGACGCTCTCCTGTAACTGGACTCCATCGGCTCGTCTTGCAGCCTTGTCTCTCCAGCTTCCTTCGACACCTGCCGACGCCACTTGATCTCCTTCTCCTCCTCCTCCTCTTCGTCCGACTCCGAACATCTTGTGTCCAAGCCGTACGCTAGCCGCACGTATGCCTTGTCGAAAAGGCCACGCTTGTGCAGCGTTAGCAGCATGGCCATGCCCAGGAAGTTCACGATGGCCACCACCACTACGAACTCTCTGAACTCTGCCCGGGTCGCGCTCGGCTTGAAGTCGAGCATCCAGATCATCACGATGGGCACGACCGAGCCCACCTGACCCCCCATCTCAGCGACAGTGAGCTTCGTCGCGTCGATGGCCGATATCATTTGGTGTCCCGAAGCCTGTGCAAGACAACAGCTGGCTCCCAGGGCGAGGCCGATACCGATCGCCACGACCTCCGTCACGGGCAAGTACATCCACATCAACACCAAGGCTAGAATCGAAAGCTGGCCAACAGATATCGGGACGGGGTACGTCACTTGCGTTGTGAAACGCCTGTCGAAGTACGCGTCGAAGACGGCCTGCGCCGCGACGATCAGCGGGAAGGGCCCGTAGGCAGCGAATAGCATCACGACAAAGAAGAGCCTGGTCTCGAACGCGTACTGGTAGTAGCCGACGGAGGCGATGTAGAAATTCAGCGCCATCCCGGGGCCGAGGAACATGGTGAAGGCGGCGACTGTGGTGTGCGCCTCATCCAGCCACTCGCCCGAGGTCTGCCGCACCCCCTTGAAGCCGCTCGAGCCGCCCGACCGTTGGCGCAGCTCCCCTGCCGCGCTCGACCCGCCCTGGCCGGGCCCGCTCTCGGAGGGAGCGCGCATGCGGGCTTGCTACATTCGGCTACGGATGTGGTGAGGGGTGAATGAGAGACCGGGCGGGAAATGGCGGGAGAAGGAAGGGCATCCTCCGTGCCCTCCCCTTTCACTTCCTCATCCAGCTCCTCCTCCTCCTCCTCCTCCTCCTCCTCCTCCTCCTCCTACCCCTTCCCCTTCCCTGTTCCTGTTCCTCATCGAGGTGTAAACAAAGAAGTCCTCCCTGTCGTGCCCCCAGACGTGTCGGTAGGTCGGGTCGTGCGTTTCGCACAATACATCCGCGCCATTTATTCGCGTGAAACTCGAAGCTTGCAACAAATACAAGGGGGGATCACATGTCGGTTCCTATATGAAGATCTGCGTTGGCGCCGAGCACATTCGTCAGAACAATTCGCAACGCTTGCAATCCAATGATTGAGGGGTCGTTTTCGGGAGGGTGGCAAAGAGGAAAAGAGAGAGAGAGAGAGCGAAGATAAATATAACGATACCGAGACACACAAAGACAGAAAAAGAGGCAGAGAGAGAGAGAGGAAGAAAGAGAGATGGAAGTCCTTAGCCATGTTCTTCTATATGTATACCTACCACAACCACCGTACGCGCTTCGCGCGCGCTCAAGTTCTAGCTAGGCTGGATAGGCTGGCACATGGGATGTCATGTTTGACGCCCCTTACATCTAAGTGCTCTCTTGGAGGCCCTGCGGAAGCCTCGGATGTGTATAGGAGGCGGACATTCGGAAACGCAGGAATCATTCATGTCCTTCAGTTTCTCGATGAGTTGGAGCCCTCCAAGACTTCCGGGGGTCTCCGAAAGTAGACTGAAAGGGGGCGGGGCGCATCTGAAAAACAAATAAAACTAATTGTGGGAACCCCGCTTTGTTCTTCAAATTGCCAGGCCTGGGTTGTGGGTGAGATGTCGCCTGGATGCATGCTAGTGGCGTCTCTTTTGTTCCCGCCCATGGGGCCTCTTGGAAGGCTCCTGGTGCCTCCTGGGAGCCTCCAGGGAGTCTCTGAAGGCATTTGGGGGGCGCCTCGAGAGCCTTGGAGAGAATCGTGGGGCCATCTTAAGGCAAAGCGCTAAAACAACTTGGGGCGGTCCCCTCTTTGTGTTCCCTCTTGGCGCGCGAGCTGAAATTCTAGCTAGGCTGGATCGGCGAGTTCATGCGATCTCGATGTTTGATTGCCTGTTCTGGGGTAGATAAGAGGACACGAAGACGACTCAAGAGTGGTCCCAGACAGCGTCAGATAATTTAATAACACGTTGGAACAATAGCTGACATGCGGCCCCGGAGTCTTGATGGGGCTCGGGGTGAAGTTGTTTGTTTTAATGCTTAATGAGTTTAAAAAACAAAGTCGCTAGAATTCCTTGTTGTTTTTTCAAGTCGGGCCTCCTACCATGTAGTGCGCAGGAAGCAGGGGGCCTAAGAGGCCTGCGTGGGGCTCCTGGGAAGCAGTTGTGAGGCCTCTGCGGGGCTTTCTCGTGGAGTTCCGAGGGTTTTTGAAGGTGGCCTCTCAAGAGTCCGGGGTTTGTTGGCGGCCTCTGGGTGTCCTGGAGGTCTTTCGGGGGCCTCGTGGGGCCCCCTGCTCCCGCCTTCGGGCCCATGTTGGGCCTGTCCTGGAGCCCTCTTTGGCCGTCTTGGGCGCCTCTTGACCAGTCTTGAGGCTGCCTGGGGCCGTCTTGGGTCGTCTTGAGGGCCTCTTGGGCCGTCTTGGGGCGGTTTGCGGAGCCTCTTCGGCTGTTTTGGACCGTTGGAAGCTTGACAACGCGGGAAAACTAAAAAACGATTTAAACATTTGCCTGGCGAAGGACCCAACCATATGCAGCTGTGAATACCGCAATTATGAATCTCATCTTCGCCCGCGCTCCCTATGGGGCCACGAACCGTGTGAGGGGCGTGCCCACATGCTTGGCGGGGCACACAACGCGAGCGAAGACTATACGTTTGTGTGCGAGAGACTGAGAGCGAATGAGTCTGGTTGTGGATGAGTCTGCGCGCGCGTGAGTCTACGTGCATCAATGTCGACGCCCATGTCGGCGCGCCTCTCACGAGGATCGCGCCCGCTTCCTTCCCCCGTTCTTCTTCTCCCGTTTTGCCCGTGCACGCCCACGTCCAAGGCGGCGGGCGCGGCGCCGCACGGAGTCCCCGCGACGCGCGCTGGTCGCCCCGAAGGGGTCCCGGCGACGCGCGCGGGTCGTCCGCTGCGCGGAGCACAGAGAGCGAGCAGGCTGGCTCCCGCCTGGATGCACGGCCCGAAAGCGGCCTCAATACGCCAAATACGACGAAGAACCTCCGGAAATCGAAAGTCGCCGCCTTGCGAACAACGCCACTGGACCGCCATGCGAGATCTCCCACGGAGACCTTAGGTGGAGCTCCCTGTGGAGACACGAAACGCTGTGTTGGGTGGTGGATGATGCATGCGGGCGGTCCCACTGGGGCCTTCGGTGGAGCCCCCTATGGGGCCACGAAACGCTGTACTGGGTGGTGGGTAACGCATGCGGGCGGTCCCACTGGGGCCTTCGGTGGAACTCCCTATGGGGCCACGAAGCGCTGTACTGGATGGTGGATGTCGCATGCGGGCGGTCCCACTGGGGCCTTCGGTGGAGCCCCCTATGGGGCCACGAAACGTTGTAATGGGTGGTGGATTACGCATGCGGGCGGTCCCACTGGGGGCTTCGGTGGAGCCCCCTATGGGGCTACGAAGCGCTGTGCTGGGTGGTGGATGACGCATGCGGGCGGTCCCACTGGGGCTTTCGGAGGATCCCCCCTATGCGGCCACGACATGCTGTGTTGAGTGATGAATGACGCATGCGGGCGGTCCCTCTGGAGCCTTCGGTGGAGCCCCCATATGGGGCCAGGAAGTGCTGTGCTGAGTGGTGAAAGACGCATGCGGGCGGTCCCACTAGAGCCTTCGGTGGAGCTCCCTATGGGGCCACGAAATGAAGGAGAAGCGGGAGGAGGAGGAGGAGGAGGAGGAGGAGGAGGAGGGAGGAGGAGGAAGGAAGGAAGGAAGGAACGAAGGAAAGACAGAGGAAGAAGGAGAACGCGGAACCGCCTCTTCAAAACGAGGACCCAACACCACAGGATGGTTGGGAACAAGTGACAATAAAGATGTTGGCCTTTTCGGACCCTCTCGGAACGTCACTCGGAGCTCTCTTGGGACTCTCAGGGTCTGGGGCTTGTTGGGGGCCTCTGGGGGGGCCTGGAGGCTTATCAGCGGCCTCTTGGGGCCTCCTGCTCCCGCCCTGGGGCCTCTTTCCAGCGGTCCTGGGGCGTTCTTGGCCCGTCTTGGGCGCCTTTGGGGCAGTCTTGAAGATCTCTGGGGCCGTCTTGGGTTCTCTTGGGAGGGTTCTTCTGCCGGCCCGGGGCGGTCTGGGGGGCCCCTTCGGCTGCCTTGGAGCGTTGGAAGCTAGAAATCGCGAGAAGGCCAAAAACTCAGTGAACCCAGCTTGGAAACTCGGGACGCCTCTCGGAGATCTCTCGGGGCCTCTCGGGGGCCTTCTGGTTAACTCTTCAGGGGTCCTGAGCCTGGAAAGCCGTCGGAAGGCCTTCCTTCTTGGGTTGCTCGGCTGCGTCTTAGGCTGTTTTTGTTATGTACTTGGGGCTCTTTGGGGGCGTCCTGGGGCGTTTTGAAGCCTTCCTGGGAAGGCCTAAGGGCGCGGTAGTGAGAGTTCCCCTAGATGTTCCAGAGCTGTGGGACGCTCCTGTGGTATTTTTGGAGCCGTCGAAAGTTTCCTTGGGTCTTTTTTTGGCCAGTGACAAGGGCCATAATCGTGCCTGTTGTGCAAGAGTAGCGTGCGCGGGGGGCGGGCTGAATGTTGAAAAAAAAAACTCTGAGAATTCGTTTTTCCGAACCATCCTGTGGTGTTGGGTCTTCGGTTTGAAGAGACGTCGCCCCGCGTTCCTCCTCTCCTCCTCCTCCTCCTTCTCCCCCTCCTCCTTCTGCCATGCGCTTCACCCACCCAGCACAGCGCTTCGTGGCCCCATAGGGAGCCCCACCGAATCCCCCAGTGGGACCGCCCGCATGCGTCCCCCACACCCAATTTGACACTGTCACCCACCCAACACAGCGCTCCGTGGCCCCATTGGGAGCTTCAACGAAACCCCCACTGGGACCCCCCGCGTGCGTCCCCCACACCCAACTTGGCAGGTTCACCCACCCACTACAGCGCTTCGTGACCCCATAGGGAGCTCCACCGAAGCCCCCAGTGGGACCGCCCGCATGCGTCCCCCACACCCACTTTGACACTGTCACCCACCCAACACAGCGCTTCGTGACCCGATAGGGAGCCCCACCGAACCCCCCACTGGGACGCCCGCGTGCGTCCCCCACACCCAACTTGGCATTGTCACCCACCCAACACAGCGCTTCGTGGCCCCATTGGGAGCTCCACCGAAGCCCCCAGCGGGGCCGCCTGCATGCGTCCCCCACACCCAATTGGACATTTTTACACACCCAATACAGCGTTTCGTGGCCCCCCAGGGAGCTCCACCGAAGCCCCCAATGGGACTGCCCCCATGCGTCCCCCACGCTCAGTTTGGCATTTTCACCCACCCACTACAGCGCTTCGTGGCCCCATACGGAGCTCCACCGAAGCCCCCAGTGGTACCGCCTACATGCGTCCCCCACACCCAATTTCATATGTTCACTCACACCGTACAGCGCTTCGTGGCCCAATAGGGAGCCCCACCGAAACCCCCGGTGGGACCGCCCGCATGCGTCCCCCACACCCAACTTGGCATTTTCACCCACCCACCACAATGTTTCGTGGCCCCATAGGGGCCCCGCCGAAGCCCCCAGTGGGACCGCCCGCGTGCGTCCCCCACGCCCAATTTGGCATTTTCACATATCCACTACAGCGCTTCGTGGGCCCATAGGGAGCTCCACCGAAGCCCCCAGTGGGACCGCCCACGCGCGCCCCCCACACCCACTTTGTCACTCTCACCCACACAGTACAGCGCTTCGTGGCCCAATAAGGAGCCCCACCGGCGCCCCCAATGGCACCGCCCGCATGCGTCACCCACACCCAACTTGGCATTGCCACCCACCCAATACAGCGCTTCGTGGCCTCATAGGGAGCCCCACAGAAGCCCCCAGTGGATTGTATTGTATTGTCGGGGCCTTAAAGGTACGAAAAAATTACCCTGCGACGTACACAACCCAATGGCATCAAGTGGCAAACGGAATAAGGAAACATTAGCAGGAGCCGTGACAGCGCAGGCGCGGCGATTTGTAGTGCGACCTACATGGGATGCGTAATGTTGCACGACTCACAGAACAGCAATCGATAAGACGAGGAGTATGTCCCAAGGTTTGTTAAACAATAGCGGGGGCGGGAACGAGGGACAGGAGAAGGACGAACCCAGTAGGAAGGGGCGAGGAGCCATCGCAGCAGCAGCACCATGAATGCATAAGGTAACAGGAGGACTAGGGCGGCGATGATGAAAGAGGAGGGAGGAAGCAAGAGACTGTTTCGTTTTTGCAGGAGCTCGGTCAACGCATGCCTGCTGCCTGTCCACAGGATCATACCTGTTTATATCTGGTGCAGGAAGCGATCGAGACCTAGCTCGCGCGCCAGCTTCTCTGCCTCCTTCCTGCACGTTGCAGTGCGGGAACTGAACTGCATGTTGCAGTGCGGGATCTGAATCTGCGTGGTGCCTCACTCCGCTGGACCCACCAGCAGCCCTCGAATGTGGCGTCAGCGTCGCAGATCGCAGCCCCCCAGGGATGGCGAGGTCTAATCTGAATCTGCGTGGTGCCTCACTCCGCTGGACCCACCAGCAGCCCTCGAAAGTGACGACAGTTTCGCAGATCGCAGCCCCCCAGGGACGGCGAGGTCTAATCTGAATCTGCGTGGTGCCTCACTCCGCTGGACCCACCAGCAGCCCTCGAAAGTGACGACAATTTCGCAGATCGCAAACCCCCAGGGATGGCGAGGTCTAATCTGAATCTGCGTGGTGCCTCACTCCGCTGGACCCACCAGCAGCCCTCGAAAGTCGAGGTCTAATATGAATCTGCGTGGTGCCTCACTCCGCCGGACCCACCAGCAGCCCTCGAAAGTGACGACAGTTTCGCATATCGCAGCCCCCCAGGGATGGCGAGGTCTAATCTGAATCTGCGTGGTGCCTCACTCCGCTGGACCCACCAGCAGCCCTCGAAAGTGGTGACAGTTTCGCAGATCGCAGCCCCCCAGGGATGGCGAGGTCTAATCTGAATCTGCGTGGTGCCTCACTCCGCTGGACCCACCAGCAGCCCTCGAAAGTGGCGACAGTTTCACAGATCGCAGCCCCAAAGGGATGACGTAAAAGGCAAGAGAGAAGAGGAGGAGCGAAGAGAGGAGGAGAATGGAAGCAACAGAGGAAGAGCGAAGAGAGGAGAAGGGATGCAAGAGAGAAGAGGAGGAGCGAAGAGAGGCGGAGAAGGGAAGCAAGAGAGGAGAGGAAGAGGGAAGAGAGGAGGAGGAGGCGGGAAGGAAGGAAGGTGGAGACCGCAGTGCTCTATTCAAAACGAGTACCCAACCAAGGAGGGTTGGGAATAAAAACCGACGGGGCCACGGATTGGCCGACCCTCCCGAGGAGGCCGCGTTGGGCCCCTTCCCCAAACAAGTGCAGCACAGACAGAAAGGCGAAACCTCTGGCATATACTACACAAGACCATCCATCAAGTGCAGCACTGATCAGACCATATACTACAAGAAAACCAAATCAGGTGTAGCACTGAAGGGAACAGATACGACACACGATCTCATCACCAGCAACACCTGCATCAAGCAAGCACTGTGCAATAATAACAGATACTACACATGATCAGGGCGCTACCCTACCTGGCTAGTTCTCCAGGCACTTCGCCTGGGCCGCCTCCAGCAGCCGAAGGCCCTCGGCGATGCCGCCGCGCTGGAGGGCCTCCCTCGCCAGCATAGCGGCGCCGAGAATGAGCTGCTGGGCCTCCGTCGGGGCCTCCGCCGCCGCCGAAACCTCGGGCACCACCTGCTGGGTGATCTCATCGAGGTCATCAGCCCAGCGCACTCCCTTCGAGGTCCCCTCGGGGGCCTCCACCAGCGCCTCGGCGCCACACGCCCTCGGCTCCAGCGCTCTCGGCTTGCTGTCCCCCGTGCGGGCGGCCTCCGCGGAGGTGGGAAGACGGCCTGGGGCCCCATCTTCCCAGGCAGCGCCGGCCCCGCCAGGAGTGGAAAGACGGCCTCGGGCCCCATCTTCCCAGGCGCTGCAGGCCCAGCCAGGGATGGGAAGACGGCCTGGGGGCCCATCTTCCCAGGCGCCGTGCTGCCCGCCAAACCCCTCGGCGTCGGCCTGGCACTCGGACGCCTCCTCGTGGGAACAGTTGTCCGACAAGGCTGACCCCACGCACTTCTCCTTGTACGACGCCTCCATGCCGACGGGCTGCTCCACCAGTTGCTCGCTCCCAGGCAAGGGCCTCGGTGCTCATGAGCTCGTCCACGAGCCCGTCTCGTTCTGCCAGGAGCTGCTGGCGCTCCGCCATGAGCTCCTGGACACGGCCCACCATGCCGTCCGAGTCCGCCACCGCCGACCCCGAGCCCGCGACGCCGAGCTGCTCCAGCTCCTCGGACTTCCCGCTGGAGGTGGTCGCCTCCGTGAGCACCTCGTCCGAGCCAGCGGACGCTTCGTCCGCGCCCTTGTCCTCGAACCTCGGCGTCAGCACCCCCGACACGGATCGCATCCCGGCCTTGCCCCGTACCTCGGCGGCCACCGCCGGCCGCGCTGGAGGCACTTGCCCTGCGCGTCTGACTTCTCGAACCGATCCTCGGCCCTGAAGGGCTTGTCCATCTCGTCGAGGAACTTGTGCTCCGCGATGTTCCGCCCAGGCGCGTCGACCTCCCGCCGCGCGCGGGGGCCGCGCCTCGCTCGCAGCCCGAAAGTGCTCAGCGACGACGGGCTCGATCAGGCAGATCCGCGCCTGGACCTCCGCGGCGTCGCCCTCACGCACCACTGCGGGATCTCCCATGGCCGAGCGGACCGCCGCCGCCGCCACAGCCGCCAGGCCCTGCCGAGGCGCGCCTCCCTCGGCCGCACCTCGCACGGCGGCGCGGACGAGCTCCGCGACAGCGCCAAGCCTCGCACCCGCAGGCTTGTCCCCACCCAGGGGAGCGACCGTAGCCATTGCCTCGGGACGCGCGCGCGCGGGGGAAGGAGACCGAGCCGCGATCCGCGCCAGCCGAGGTGACTGGACTCTACAGGGAGAGGCACGGCGCGCACCGCCAGTCTAGCGCCCAAGGCAGGCTTGAGCCAAAATGGCTACGGAAGAAGCCCCCAGTGGGCGTCCCCCGCATCCGATTTGGCATTGTCGCCCGCCCAGTACAGCGCCCCGTGGCCCAACAGGGAGCTCCACCGAAGCCCCCCCAATGGGACCGCCCGCATGCGTCCACCATGCCCAATTTGGCATTTTCACCCGCCCAGTACAGCGCTTCGTGGCCCCATAGGGAGCTCCACCGAAGCCCCCAGTGGGACCGCCCGCATGCGTCCCCCACAGGGAGCTCCACCGAAGCCTCGAGTGGGACCGCCCACATGCGTCCACCATGCCCAATTTGGCATTTTCACAGACCCAGTACAGCGCTTCGTGGCCCCATAGGGAGCCCCGCCGAAGCCCCAAGTGGGGCCGCCCGCATGCGTCCCCCACACCCACTTTGGCATTTCCACCCACCCTTTACAACGCTTCGCGGCCCCATCCATAGGGAGCTCCACCGAAGCCCCCAATGGGACCGCCCTCATGCGTCCCACACGCCTAGTTTGGTATTTGCACCCACCAAGTGCAGCGTTTCGTGGCCTCACAGGGAGCTTCACCGACGGCCCCAGTGCTACCGCCCGCATGCGTTCCCCCCCGCCCAGCGCAGCGCTTCGTGGCCCCATAGGGAGCTTCACCGAAGAAGATATTCACAATTGCGGTACCCACAACTTCATATGGTTGGGTCCTTCGCCAGGATAATGTTTCAAATTGCCATGCCTGGGCTGTGGGACCAGGGTCTGGCCTGTCGGGATGGCACTTGGGGCCTTTTTTGGCGGCGTCTTGGAAGTCTTTCGGGGCCTCTTGGGGAACTCTGAGTGCCTCCTGGGAGCCTCCCGGGAATCTCCGCATGCTTCTGGGTGGCGCCTCGAGAACCTCTAGCAGAACCTCGGTGCCACCTTCGGGCAAAGCGCTCGTAAGGCGTTGGGAGGTCCCCTCTGTTGTCTCTTTCTTGGCGCGCGCGCGCTGACGGTCTAGCTAGGCTGGACAGGTGAACTCGTGGGAGTTGGAGTTTCAATGTTTTTCAGGGGCAGCCATGAGGACACGAAGACGAACCAAGAGAGTGCCAAGACAGCGTCAGAGAGTTCAGCAGCATTCCCGAAAAGTCTTTGCATTGTGACCACGGACTCTTGATGGGGCTCGGGATGAACTTGAACAAAAACAGAATCACTGGATTCCCTATTGTTTCAAGTGGAGCCTCCAAACGTGTAGTACGCAGGAACCGAGGGGGGGGCTAAGAGGCGTGCAGGGAAATCTTGGGTGGCAAGTTGGAAGCCGCTGGGGGGCTGTTTCGGGGCCTCTTGGGGCTACTATTGGGCCTCTTCGGGGCCTCGTCAGGCTCTTTGGGGGACTCTTGGGGCCTCCTGGGGGCCTCTTGGAGCGGAAAGCTGGGATTGTCGATTTGCGTTCCCCCTATTGGGCGGCTTCCCCGGCCATCTTGGGGATCTCTTGGGCTGCCTTGGGGCGCTCTTGGGCCGTCTTGGGGTCTGCTTGGCCCGTCTTGGAGCCGTCTTGGGGGCTCTTGGGCGGTCTTGGAGCGGCCTTGGGTGCCTTTTTCAGCCGTCTTCGAGCGTTGGAAGCTCGAAAACGTGAGAAGGCTTCCCCAAACACACACACACACACACACACAAACACACACACACACACACACACACACGCACGCACGCACGCACGCACGCACGCACGCACGCACGCACGCACACACACACACACACACATACACACACACACGAAAATCACGAGATTGGCCTCTTCGGGCGCTCCCAGGACGCCACTCGGAGCTCTTTGTGGGCCTCTTGGAAGCCTCCTGGGAGCCTGGAGAGCCGTCGGAGGTCTGTATTGGGCTGCTTGGGAGCGTCTTGGGCAGTCCTTTCCCGTTCTGGGGGCTCCTTGGGAGCGTCTTGGGCTGTTTTGGGGCCTCCCTGGGAGGCCCAGGGGCGCGGTACCGGGAATTCCCCCCAGATGTCACGGAGGTGGGGGACGCTCCCCGGGGGGGAGCGTATATGCTCTACATAACTATTGAATTGATTGCTTAACTAACTAACTTATAAATTTATCTATTAATATATTGTTGAACATCTCAGTCTCGCGAGCTTTCCCTGAAGACCGTCCACTATACTGCGCGCGATTGCAGATGCGAGCGTAGTATCATGGCCAGGTTCCTGTAACTGGGCAACGAAAAGAGGAGAATGGGGGAGGTTCGGTTCGGTTCGGCTTTCCACGGAAATGATGAGCAAGTGGGCGGCAGCAGCTGTGGGTGCCGCATTCAGTCGAAACGCAGTCACCGACGGGGCACCGGAGACCACACACGAGCAACAACAAGTTATCCTGGCGAAGGACCCAGTCATATGCAGTTGTGAATACCCTCGTTGCAGGTATCGCCTTCGGGTGATCTCCTCATGGGGCCATGGGTGTGCCGATGTGGGGCTGGGCCGCCATGTGGGCGTTGCCACTGGAGCTGTAGGCGGAACGCACTACGGGGCCGCGAAAAGTGTGAGGGGTGCGCCGCAGTGGGGCGGAGCCGCCACTGGGGCCTTCGGTGGAGCTCCCTGTGGGGCCACGAAGCGGTGCAATGGGTGTGGGGAAACGCATGCGAGTACAGCCACCGGGGCGTTCGGTGCAGCTCCCCAGGAGGCCACGTAGCGCTGTGCTGGGCGGGTGGAACGCATGCGAACACCACCACTGGGGCCTTCAATGGAGCTCCCTCTGGGGACACGTAACGCTGCACTGGGCGGGGGAACCACACGCGAGTGCATCCACTGGGCCCTTCGGTGGAGCTCTCAGTGGGGCCACGAAACGTTGTACTGTGTGGGTGGGGCGCATGCGGGAGGTGCCACTGTGGCCTTCGGTTGAGCTCGCTATGGGGCCACGAAACGCTGCACTGGGCGGGTGTGGCGCATGTGGTTGTTGCCACTGGGGACTTCGGTGGGGCTCCCTATGGGGCCACGAAGCGCTGTACCGGGTGGGGGGTAACGCATGCGGGCGGTGCCGCTGGGGCCTTCCGTGGAGCTCCATATGGGGCCGCGAAGCGCTGTGCTGGGTGGGTGGTGACGCATGCGGGCGGTGCCACTGGTGCCTTCCATGGAGCTCCATATGGGGCCACGAAACGCTGTGCTGGGTGGGGGTGACGCATGCGGGCGGTGCCACTGGGGCCCTTCGGTGGAGCTCCCTATGAGGCCACGAAAAGCTGCACTGGGCGGGGGTGACGCATGCGGGAGATGCCACTGCGGACTTCGGTGGAGCTCCCTATGTATGGGCCACGAAACGCTGTGCTGGGTCGGGATGACGCATGCGGGCGGTAGCACTGGGGCCTTTGGTGGAGCTCCCTATGGGGCCAAAAATGAGGGGGGTGACGGGAGGAGAGAGGAGGAGGGGGGGGGATGAAGAAAGGAGAGGAACCCGGGGCGCCACCAGAGGCAAGCAACACGACCGAACACAATCGCCCTCGGCGCCATCACAGCCAAAAGAGAAACCTCGCCGTCCTGCGACCCCAGCGGGGAGCTGGGAAAAAAAAACAGAGCGACTGGGCTCCCCAGGGAAGTCGTCGGCGAGCCAGGGGGGAAGTGAGAAGGGCGGGCCTTCTCAGAGGGCTCGGAAGTCCCCTGGCATTCTGAAAAGTTTGCTTAGCCTTCCAGGAAGACGCAGGCAGCCGCCCAGAAGGCGCGAGAGCTTGCGAGAAGCCCCGCCGCCTTCTGAGAAGGCCCTCTCCTTCTCACTTACCCCCCCCTCGCTCGCCGCCAAGGAAGGGACGAGGCGGGGAAGGAGGAGGGAAGCAGCAGGGGCAGCAGCAAGGGCAGCAGCGGGGGCAGCAGCAGGGGGCAGCGGCAGGGGCAGCGGCAGGGACAGGGGGAGGGGGATGATGGGGAGCAGGACGAGGAGGAGGAGGAGGAAGAGTAGAGGACGAGGAGGAGGGGCCCAGTCATCCGCCAGTCCTGGGGATGGCCGCCCGTGCATCCACACACCCCGCCCATCTGTCGGTACGGATCGCCCCGTCGGCCCCCAAGCGACGGGAGGCGCCCCCGCTGTCCCCGAGTCTTTGACAGGGCCCAGCCATCCAAGCGGGGAGGGGGGAATGGGGAGGAGGAGGAGGAGGAGGAAGAGGAGGAGGAGGGAGTTAGGGGGCGATGGATGGTATCGAATTAGCCTGGCGAAGGACCCAACCATATGCAGTTGTGAGTACCGCAAGTGTGAAGATCTTCTTCGGTGGCGCTACCTATGGGGCCACGAACCCAGTGAGGGGTGTGCCGAAATGGGTGCGGAAACTCATGTGGACGGTGGCACCGGGGCCTTCGGTGGAGCTCCCTATGGGGCCACGAAACGCTGTACTGGGTGGTGCCGAAATTGACATGGGGGACGCATGCGGGCGGTGGCACTGAAGCCTTCGGTGGAGCTCCCGATGGGGTCACGAAACGTGTGATGGGCGTACCGAAATGGGTGTTTGGGAGACGCAAGTGGACTGTGGCACTCGGGCCCTTCGGTGGTGGAGCTCCCTATGGGGCCACGAAAACTGTGAGGGGTGTGCCGAAATTGGTG